GGCCAAACCAAGTTCATCTCTACTCCTGTGAGGTTCTTCCCTCCCACCCTCTACCCTCGGTACTAAGGCTTGAACTCAGGGCACTCTGCTTAGCTTTTTCACTCAAGGCTGGCATTCTACCACTTGAACCATATCTTCACTTCTGGCTTTTTCATGGTCTAATAGAGAAGACAGTCTCTCATATTTGGTTGCCTGGCCTGGCTTTGAATGGTAATCCTCAAATCGCAGCTTCTTGAGTAGCTGGGATTACGGTCATGAAAGTCACCAGGGCCAGGCTATCAATTCTATATAGTAGAGACATAGAGACTCATTCTAGCTTTATGAAAGACAAAAAGGAAAGGAAATATAATGCCTTATTGTTATCTGTGCCACCCTACTATCTAACAGAACAGAATTTCTAACTATTATTTAGTACCCATTACTTAACCATAGATGTTAGACCAAAGCTTACAGGGCTCTTTAAACTAAAAATGTTTCAACATTATTAAAAATCAGTCTTTGGCATTTCTAGGATTTTTTTAAAGACCACAAATATGCTAGATTTTTACTTGCTCGGCCAATGAGACTCTTCTCCCTGGTATACTACCCTTCCAACAAAGTGGGTTCTCCTGGATAATTAAATTGCACCCAATGTCTTTAAAGAGCCAGTCTAAATTTATAACAAGGGTGGGAGAAGAGACTTGCCAAAGAATGGGAAGAATTATTTCCTAAACCAACCATGTCATTTACAGTTGTAGATTCTAGAACATTTTTACATGTGCAGCTCCAATGCAAGCTCCACAGCACATTTTAGTATCTGCTTTTTTCCTGCCTTTAAATCTTTGCCCTGTATAATAGCCTAAGTCGCACATTCATTGTAAATAAAACATTTCTCCTGGCTGAATTTATTTATTATTACTTCAAAGAAGAAATCCTACTTCTCTCAGACACATTGATTTTTGACCTCACACATAACTAACCACAAAAACCCTTCTGGCTCTCAGTGCTAGATCTGGAGAACCTTCTAAACCTTGGACTTTACTGGGTGTGTTCCAAGACTGCTTAGGGTTTGTACTTATTTACTGGTTTTCCTTCTTAAAAGTTTAAATCTTTTACCAGCTACACACACACACACACACACACACACACACACACACACACACACACACACACACACACACATACATATATACATGTATATATGTATCTGCATATACATATATATATATATATATATATATACACATGCATTTTTTCTTGGTCCCATTTACCATCAGATCAATCACAGACATGACACTCTCTAAGGGAAAGGTTGGAAAGAAGAGTTGAAGCCAGCAGAATCACACAGTGAATTAATCCCCAACACAGGTGTGTCAATTAGAGCAAACCACATGGCAAGCCAAAAAATAGTCAGGAATACCAAGGCATTTTAACACATCAAGATCCCTCAGAGTAAATAACAGATTCAAAATGTTCCCAGGAGAAAGTGACACTATCTAAGGGTACCCTCCCTAGGTTTAAGCTGTCTTCTGCATCAACAGATCTTCATGGGACTGAAACCTTGACCCGGCTCAGAGAGCAGAGAACTGAGGGAAACACGGCGTACGGTCACAGGACTCCTGCATTGACGACATTCCCAGTCTTAAGGCTAGTATTTTCTCTTCAGCAAAAGAACCATTGCTCATTTGGATTTCACAAAACCTCATGTGGACAGTATAGATTCAAAAGCCCCATTTATACAAGACAATGCAATCAGCCACCAAGAATCTGCCATTTTGTCAAAAGTCAAAAATGTCTAATTATTTGCCACCATGTTTAGGGTAAGAATCCAAAGGTATACTTCAGCTATTAGTCAAAGGGACATGATGACAAGAATTATGTCTCTAAGAAGGCTGTACTGCAAAGGAAAATAATCAAATCTTCCTCAGGCCACACATTCATGGGGCACCCAGAGAAGAAGGCACATGGACCACCATTTCACAAACAGAATGGCAAAGATCAGCTGCCACTATTCTCCTGCATGTTCTGCATAGTTCCTGGGTCAAGCATTAACCAAGGTCAATTCTAAGATGCTTGAGGAGGCATAAGGTCCGGATACAGCATACAAACAGTGAGTGTGTTCTTCCCACACTCAGTCACAACTGGTTTCTTGGAAGCAATGAACTATGAAATTGTTGAGGGAAGATGTAGTTTAGACTTCACAGCTCGGTTCTTATTTCTCTTCCTTTGTGTTTTTGTACATGAGTTTGTATACATCGTAAGTTAGAAGGGGTGCAGGCTCAAGAGTGGCCACTTAAAGAGCTGAGAAATCCTCAGGGTTTGATGGAACCATCTTTTATTCTCGAGGCAACCTGGGGTTCATTATTCCTACCTATCACGGCTGCTGACACAAGCAGGTGAGTCTGCTGGGAGAATGACCTTCAAACTATAAAATGGTAGTCAAGAGAATGTTAGGGCTCACATCTGTAATCCCAGATATTCAAGAGGCTGGGTACTGAGAATCACAGGTTCAAGCCTGCCTGGAAAGTAAAGTCCATGAGACCCACATTCCCAATTAACTATGAAAAAGCCATACATGAAGCTGTGGGCTCAAGTGGCAGAGTGGCAGCCTTGAGCAGAAAAAGCTAAGGGTCTGTGCCCAGGTCCTGAGTTCAAGCCCAATACTGGCGCAATCAATCAATCAATCAACCATCAATAAATGGGTGATAGAAAAAGAAAAGCTCTAAAACCTACTTTTATTCATCCTAAGATATGAGATAGGCAAAAGAACAAGGTAGCAGGGAATAGTGTACCTTTTTAATTCTTCTTTTACATGAAACTTTTTTTAAAAAACCTTCCAGTTGAGAAATTGACCTGGCAACCAACCATATGTGATTTATTCACCTGATTTAAAACTCTGAGTGTGCCTGTGACTCTCCAGCCCACCCAAGGGCAGTCCAGCTCCCTCCTATCAACTTACTCTACCATGCTCAGGCCAAAGACATGGTGTCCCAGGCACACACAAGCCAAGGTTCCGAATCCTCGGGCAATTCCTAATCTCTACATTGAAAGACACCGAGGAACCAACTGGTCACTGAAATGTCACCAGCTAAGCACTTCAGCACCCTGTCACTGTGTGGTTCCAAGACAGCAGCACATGGTGCAGAACTGTGCGGGCTGTTCCTTGTTCTCACTGTTTACCTCTGAGTAAGTCACAGGAAAGCAGGAAATAATTAAGCATCAGGGATCGTGGCGGTATCACGTGCAAGAGCAAGAAGACAGGCCATTTAATTCCCTGTAGCCATGATGCCCCTCCCAGAAAATTCTACTTTCCGAAACACTTGTCCTTTTGGGGCTGGGCTGATGCCAGAGAAATGACTTGACTTTTAAAGCATCTTGTGCTATAGGTTGCAGAGGCATTTAAATCAAGAAGGCTGTTTACCATCATCTCAGAGTGGGGCATGTTGTTCCCTTTAAAAATACCACCAACTGAGAGCCAGCGCCAGCGGCTCATGCCTGTAATCCTACCTGCTCAGAAGGTTGAAATCTGAAGATTATGGTTCAAAGCCAGGCAGGGCAGAAAAGTCCATGAGACTCTTATCTCCAATAAAGTAGCCAAAAAAAGCCAGAAGTGAATCAGTGGCTTAAGTGGTAGAGCACTAGCCTTGGGTAAAACAAGTTCAGGGACAATGTTCAGGCCCTGAACTCAAGCCCAGGACCAGCACACAAAAAAAATAAAATAAACCACCACTGCTTGAACAAGCATACGCAAGCCCTCTTGGAAAGTTCTTAGGAGAGTATCTTTAATTAAGGTGACCTACTATTTCATACAAAGCTACCCTAAGTCTTGTAAGGTGGTTGCATCTGATGCATACTGCTTTCAACCCCTGTAAAACTTCAAGAGAAAGGAAACATCTTCCATGTCTCACCAATAACTCTCCAGTGAGTTATAAATGAAGCTATTGGGTTTGCTATTATCCAAGCTTTTAGGACAGTTCAAGTTCAATACACACAATGCTTCATTCATGCTGTTAAATTGATAATATTAACCTTTCTTGCTGAGATGCATTAAAAATTCTGGCTTTTCAGAGCAAATGTAATTAGTTCACATTAGTAACTTCACCAGCAGCAGTGGCAAGAGAAGCAAACTGAACTAACAGGATATGGCTTAATGTAATCAAAATATCATCTCCCATCATCTCCATGCTTTCGGCAGCTGGCTGTACTTCTTCTCTTGGTTTGGATTTTTTTTTCTCTTTTAACAAAAACAATAGATCAATGAAATGGATGCATAATGGGCTTGTAATCCCCCCCTTGGGGGATTACTGTACAGGAAACCATTTTGGTGAATGATCCCAAAAGTTTTTAATTCGATGTGTCTGCTCAATACCATTTTGACAACAGAATGTCAGAAGGCTCTTCTGGACCAAAGAGTTTGTGAGGGAGGGATGAGGACTGAAGTCATGGGATTGGCTGTTTCTAGAATCCTCCATACCTCTCTCAATTGGTAAGCACAGTGTCACTAAAGGAAATGAAGCAAAATCGTGTAATTATCTCCAGTGTATGTGCCTCCAAAAATGTATGTCCTTGTAGACAGTACCTCCCATCTAAGGGAGCTATCTGTTGTTTTGAACCTTCTTTACCTTTCTTCTAATCAGAATGCCCACATCTTCCTGTAATGGGGCCATCTTATCCTCTTGCTAGTCCATTTCTGGAACACACAGCTGTATGGAGTCTATAAAGAGACTTCTATAGAACAGAGCCCTTGCTCTTGGGAATTGAACACTAAGTGAAGAGAGCTCAGGGCAGAAGTTGCCAACAACCTTCCTGCTCCCACAAGGAATCCTGCCTTCAATATGCAGGCAGGGGGCAAGGGTCATGGAGAGCCATCCATGGGCTTCCAGAAGCCTACACTCATGCTGATACTGGGGATTGAACTCAGAGCCCCAGTGCTTTCCCTTTGCTTTCTGGCTCACTGTACCACTTGAGCCACAGCTCTACTTGCAGCTTTTAGGTAGTTAATTGGCGCTAAGAGCTCACAGACTTTCCTGGTCATGCAGGCTTCAAATGAAGATCCTGATATCAGCCTCCTGAGTAGCTAGGATTACAGGCATGAGTCACTGACATCCTGGCCATACAAACGAAGTAGAATGATAGTCCATTTTGGGGACTAGTATTTACATATCATATAGGTTATGTTCCACCTTGCCCTTGAAGGGAAAGACCTAAATGAGAAGATAAAAACTTTAAAAAGCAAATACTGCCAGAAAAAAACATGACCTCATAGCTCCTCCAAAGTCATCAGAAATCAGAAAGCAATTTATTCTCCCCAAAACAAGGTTGGCAAAGGTTCAAAACTGGCCTCCTGTTATCCTTCATAAAGGGCAGTTAATGTTCAGAGTGGTAGTCACCAATTAATCCAAAACTCGTACTTATTTATCAAATTCCTACCTCTGCTGAAGTTTCAAATAGCTGGGTTTGCATTTGATCAAGCCTCAAGTGACACGGGTTTGGGGTCAGTGACTTTACTGGGAAGTTAATGTCACCTTTGAGAAGCTTCCATGGATGCAAACTCTGTAGGTCATTCTGCGAGGTCCTAGGTGCAATCAAAGGACATACAGAAGCTCCTCCCCACCACCACCATATGTTTCCATTTGAAGGGGGAGAAAAAAGAAAAGAAAAACAAAACATGATGAAAACTATGGAGACTTGATTGAGGCTGACCTACTTTCAAATGTAAAAGGGTGTATTTATAGCTGACGGTTTTTAAAATTTAAAACAGTAGAATTTTTTTAATGCCATGTCCTATGACTTTAGGTTAATATCACTGAGCAACTGACTGATTAGGAATATCAGGGACTGGGCCCAGTCACAAAGCTACAGTGATCTTCCTATCCAGTGACACCATTACAGAGAAATACAGAACTTGAAAGTAATCACAACACAACCAGAATTTCAGCTGGAAAACAGTAGTATGGTTTATGTGAATTTGCTACTTGGCTCTTTCACTCAGAATTAGGAATTGCAACTGATTCTGAGCAGCATCTGAGGGGCTCACAAAGCAGGCTAAAGTAACTAGAACACCTTTCTGTCACTAAAAAGGTTTGTAAAGAACTTTCAGAACGTATAGTATCAGCCCCTTTAATGGTGCTGCCTGTTAGTAGATAAAATACACTGAATTATCTAGACATAAAGATTTAGGAGAAAGGGAAAGGAAGAGAAAATGAGGGGTAAACAAGACAAATCCCTCTACTTTGTCTCCCAGATAGACCTTTTTTTCTTTTGGTAGGTTGAAGTTTCTATTGCTGTGATTGCAGAAAGAGAACTAGTCCAGAGTTGAATCAGATCTCTGACCTTCCTCGGAGAGCTATGTAGAGTTAATCTCTCAAAGACAAGTGTTAGGAGGAAGGCCAAGTAATGCAGGTTCCTAAGAAGAGGGAGGTCCCTGCCTGAGACCCTTACCTTCTCTGTACCAAATAGGGGCTGTTAAAAAATGACAAACACCTTTCTCTGAGGTTCCTTTCTCTTTCTTTGAAGCCTGCAGGAAGAACTGAGTCATTCCAAATAGCCTCCTTTCCTGAAGACTCTCAGAGGTGCCTTTGGATGCCACATGGTCGTTTCCTGCCAAGCAGGTTCACAGGAGCTCTTAATTCACACTGGGTACTCAATCGTTCACAGAGACAACATAAAAGATGAACATGGACCCAAATGAAATGGACCCTAATAAAGCCTTCTGTGAAAGCATAGTGATGTTAGCAGGTGATGGAAGTTTTAAGAGATGAGGGCCTAGAGGGAGGCTTTCGGGGTGTTCCCTAGACGAGGAAAGTGAGTCCTAACTCCTTCCTCTCCCTATTCTAGACTTCCTGGTGAGCAACTGCCAGAACCACGCACTCTAGCCATAATGTGCTGTCTTACCAGAGGTCCAAAACACTGAGGGCCCTCAGTCATGGAAGGAAAGCTTGTGAGCCAAAACAAACCTTGTCTTGTTGTAAACTGATTGTCCCCACTATCAATGATAGTGGCAGGAAGCTGACTAATACATCTCCCTCTGAAAGTGTCAAGGTGATAACTCCATAATCAAGTATCTAGGGATCTCTCTCACTCTGTCTCCTCTCTCTCCTCCCTTCCCCTGTCATCCCCCCCCCGACCTTCCCCCTCACACACACACATACCCCACTCTTGGTGGGTCAGTGTTTCCAAGACCTGCTCAGGTCACGAGCAACTCAAAATCATATGCCATCATCACAAGCATGTGCTTTCCCTCTCCTGCCAAACTTTTTACCTTCTATTTTTCTGTGCTTACTTAATCAATGATCAGTTTCTTCCAATCGGTCCTCAGTCACCCGGTAACTCATTGCTTTTTCCTTCCCTCCCCCTCACCTTCTTCCTTCCCCAATTTCCGCTAAATCCATCTCCAGCCATGCAAAGATCTTTTTCTATGCTAGCTTCTTATGGCAATGGCATCTACCTCCACCTAACCCCTCTGCCAGTTTCTCTCCCTCCCAAGTGAAAATCAGAGAGCCTTTACAATACACAGAGATGTCTGTGGCATTCTGCTTCGGAACCACTGCCTCTGTGGGAGGCAGACAGCAGATGGGGCCCGGCACAACCCACAGCCTAGTTTCTTTCTATCAGAGCTCTCACCCTCATATGTCCACAAGGACTTGTCCTCATACCCTGCACTGATCTACCTGTCCCTACTACATGGCATTCTTCCCTACCCCAGTAAAGACTGCTCAAGAAGTCTTCAGGTCCCCAAGAGCTGAGGCTCAGTGTCTGGCAGAGGCAGCAACTAGTAAATGCCTACTGAATATAGATGCTGTATTCACAAGCTTGGGAAGGGCTAGGATTCCTCCCATGCTACCTACCCCCTTGACTAAGTAAAGCTGTGCTTACTTCAGGCAAGTAAGCTGTGATGCACGGGTAGAATACCACCAAGGCAAACACACTGTTGGCTGGCCCCGCCAACCACACTTCCCAAAGCTTTGCTTCATGCCATGGACCAACCAGCCCAACCCTATTTATAAGTCTCCAACCTGGATGCCTGGAACTAGACAAAGATCACAGATGCTTTTAATTATAACTCTGGGGGTTTAGAAGCTCGAGGGCAATGCCACGCTGAAAGGGTGCCCTGTCCTCTAACAAGTCCACTTTGCCGGTACCCAGCCCTTCCCACAGAAGACATGTCACAGCTGCACCCACCAAGATACCCTAAACCCAGTCCGAGTCAAGAAGGACTAGATAGAGTCTCCATGAGCCCTTGGGGGCAATGTCATGACAATCTTCTGTCATAACCCAAATTTGGAAACATTCACTGGGAGAAGGAAATAAGGGGCAAACATAATTGAAGTCAAATGAGGGGGAAAAATGGAATCATTTTTTTAAATGTCATTCATCCTTAAGAGGTTAATGATTACATGCGCACGTGATTTACACAGCCAAGCAACCAGACTCTAATAAGGGCTGGTCTACAATGTTCCCTCGGTTGTTATAAACTATACTGCTGAAAAAAAGATTCACACAACCCATGACATCTATTTTCATAGCACACAGCCCAGAGTTGGTCATAGCACTTTTAATGACCTGAGATTCCAAAAGAATTATCACTATGGTAACATTTCAGAATGGTCATCAAAGTTACCAGGCACCAATTCACAACAGTGTGGATCTCAGAGGGCTTTTTAGGACAGAGCCAAGTTATATTCATCTAGAACTTATCAGCTAATAGACTATCTACAAATGCAAGTTAATAGAAAGATCTCTGGTGCATACAATAAATGCTCAGATAATTCCATCGGCTATCACTTGGAATCAAATCCTTCTAATAAAAAGCCATCAGTAGACAACTCATTGGTGATATCTATAACAAGTCTTATTAGTTTTTTCATATGTATGAAAGTGCATACCAAAGTACAATGGGACGTATAAAGTTGGCTATTATTTTTGAAAACATAAAGCTGACCTCAAAGATCAACAGCATGAGTGTCATTGGTATAGGGACTTACCCTGAACACAGAGGAAACAGACTCAAAATCTGAGGTGGAAAATCCCTGAGTACTGTGCTTAAAAAGTCTGCCTTCACCCATTGGCAGTTCTCAAAAATATTAATGCTTCTCTCTCCATAGAATAAGAAAATACTGTGGTACTATCTCAGTCATAAGAGAAAGCATTGTGTCAAGAAAGAATGTTTTGGAAGCCCATGTCAGTATTGTACTTTTTTGTCCTAGGATCAGGAGGTAGATCTAGGTCTTCCTGTAGGTCTGGTTAAAACAAAGCAGAAGAAACACTCAAACATGAGACTTTAAACCCTCCTGGTGTTTAAACATTCTTTCAATTAGTGAACAAAACATTCAATGTGAGCATCCTGAAGGATAAATCCACAAGTAACAAGTAATTTTAGAAATCAAGGGAATCACTGACACAAATTCTGCTTTTAACCCTGCCTTTACACCTGATGCCCTGAAATGGGCCATAAATTTTCCATTACAATATCGTAGACCTACAGACAAGAGTGTTACAAAAGTGAAAACTGGGCTTTCCAAGGCTATGCAGGAAAAACCTCATCAAACTTGCCAAAAGCGCACAACGTTTTCAAGGCAACTGACCAAGGAAAGACAAGTACTCACACAGACCGTCCAAGGGCATTCAAGACTAAGGCCTCTGCCAGGACCTTCTACTTGGAGTCCCATAGAAGAGGAAGGTGAATCCAGGTTTCTATTCCTAAGAAAGACCAGTTCTCACCAGGGGCCCCCAATTATTGTCTCCAGGCATCTGGGAGGTCACTAGGACCACACACACACAGCCTGCTGTCTCTGAAGGACATTTGGAAGTTGTAAAGTCTTCTCTAAAAAAAAAGATAATAATAATAACCCACACATATTTTGTTAATATTTGTTTCAAAATACAAAAAAATGAAGATTATGAATTGTAACTCTACTGTCCAGATAACACTTGTCGACCTTGAAAAGAATAAGTCAAACAAAAATACACAGTTAAAACAGCACAAAGAGCACCCAAGAGGAGCCATGAAGGGCATCTAGCATTTCCAGCTCTTTTCCAGGGAAGACACAAACTTACTCCTCCCTGAAATTCCTCCCACAAAACTTCTGATGACCATCCCA